TATTCATTATTAGTGTTTGTTTTACAGGACAATATATTTTAGATAGGAATAGGCTACAGATGTTAGTCATTAATGCCATTTTTACATAGTTCTCACTACAGTGATTTTGGAAAACAAGCCAAACTGTTTAGCCCTCCGAGGCCTGTCGCTTTGTGTCCTGATTCACAACCCCAAAAAAATAATTAACATTTTCTGATAGCATATGGTTCAGATTAGGCCTGGGTTATCATCATAGATGAATGACCCTTCGTAGGGTTAATAATCGTCCAGTTCATGCAGGATCGGGTCAGAGAAATGGTGAACAGCTGTGGGCTGACAAATGACACTTCCTTCATTACCAGCACAGCTGAACTATGACCTCTCCGGTCGATGCATGTCAGACATGGTTTGTCCAGGACCTCCAAGTTCAGCAGGGTCTAGAGCTACGATCCAAACTGCACGTTTGCAGGATATAGTCATATTTTAAAGAGTCCTGTTCCGGCAGTGAAGACTGATGCTATGTTGTGTGATCTCTTCATATGCCAGTGGTTCTCAGATGCGTTTTGCACGCCCATCTTCATATGCAGAAAAAAGCTCATAATGCCAAAAGAATTCATGTTAAATTTTAGCGAAGTAAATGTCATTACAATAACATTTTTTTCCTTTTTTTAAAATTTGCCCTATAAAAATCATGTTCATTAAACTTAGTCAAATGACATATTTAACCTGCTCAGTCCCAACACGTATCAGTGCCTCTTTTCCCCACCCGTGAGGCCCAGCATCATCCACTAGCAGCTTTCTGTTTCGTTAGCTTTCAATGAGCTAATGAAAGAAATTAGTGACTCAGTATCAGCCATTTCTATGGTGAGCTAAGCTTAGGCAAAGATCAAGCTGGATGCTTTCTCCATTGCACTTCATGGTACTTTCCACTCACTGGTGACTAACAATGAATAAAATCACAAATCAACCATGTGGCTTACACATTTACCTGGGAGGAGACAGAAAATCCTCTGGATTTACATCAGGAAGAGCATCTGGCATAAAAAAGGAATTTTTTTAACTTAACCTTGCGGGGTTCTTTGTTTTGGCACCTGGGTTTTGTTGTTCCTTTTTGAAGTTTTTTCGTTTAAAAAAATGATGATATACTTCCGCTGTCCCTCAAATGTCTGTGACGGTAAGGAGGGTTTCAGCAGTAGATTTGGCCTCCCTGTGTTAGTTGGTATATTCTTACAGACCCGAGCGCTGCTCTGGACACAGCTGTAACCTCTACTTGAAAGTGAGCGTTTAATGCACCACGCAGATGCTGGACCATAAAACCCTGATAAGCAATAAAAGTGCTGCAAAGGTTCACAAAACTCCCACTCAGCACCGACCAGTTGGATGTGGTTTATGAGTCAGAAAATAAGGAGCAGCACCACCTGCTCCGAGTGAAGGTGACATTAACTAGTTGGAAGACTGTTACACGCTGATTTGCTGTGTGACGCATCACTGAGGTTTTTAAACTGTAGTGGTGTGGAATCTGGTGAATCTTCCCAAAAGGTGTGACACATACACTCATCCAATATCCAGAGCAGGTAATGTAACATCATGTGGGGTTAGTGCATGTGTTGTTTTTTCCCCTCACAGACTAGAGAAAAAGATGGCTTTACTGGTCTGCAGGTAGCAGAAAGCTGCCATTAAGGGAGCTGCACAGGTGCCCATTTCTCAAGTCACCATAGTGGCAGCATAGCTTGTGGTGGCGTTAGCCTTTTTCGGACATCTGGCAGTGCTGCTTGTAAGCAATCGCTCCCTCAGCTTTTCTTATGTGGGACTGCTGCTCATCACTGTGCAGAGATGATCAGTATAGATGTCTGTGTTTAAAAGGATTTTACAATTTCCAACTCACTATAAAAAAAATAAGTTGGCAAAACTTTCGACAGCAGTTTATGTATTTTGCAAGTAACCACTGGGTATGCATGGCTGTGTAGGTTCTCCAGTTCATGGTAGTCTTAAAGGCTTGAAAAAAGAAGGCAAATTGACTTCTTTAAGTGTGTGAAGACATTTCACCTCTCATCCAAGAGGCTTCTTCAATTCTAAAAACAAAAGGTGGAGAGTCTCAGGTATTTAACCCTTAGTGGGGGTTTTCCCCTTTGGAGGTGGTTGTTGACCTGCTGTTGATCATGTGTGTCATCACATGAATCAAGGTGTGGAAAAAGGCTTTGGTGATTACCATCACTGGGGGTTAAGTGTGAAACCATTGTGAAATTTGCCCTACTATATAATGTGACCTTTGAGGTCACCTGAGGCTAAGTCTGAATCGGGTTTGAAGTGGGTGGGAAGGGTTCTCAAAGACTGCATTGTAGGCGGCTTACAGTTGGTGTCTTGAAACACCACCTCTGTTCAGTGATGGTCGTTCACAGTGAAGGAGGACATAGATGACCTTTATACTTTAAGTGCAGGTATACAGCTGAGGCGGCTCTTCTATGTTGAGCCATGTGTTTGTGGAGTGGCTGTCTGGTCTCTCCTGTGTAGCAATCCAAGCACTCCTCACTGCACAGCACAGCATACACTGTCTTATTTAGCTTGTATTTGGGAGTTTTGTTTCTCGGGATATAGTGTTTATTTCTAAAGATATGGCTGGATTTGAAGGGCACTGGTGGGTCATTCTTGGAGAAAATTCTTATGAGCTTCACTGTTAAACCTGCTACCTGGGACTCTCCATCTTTTGTTTTTAGAACTGAAGACGCCTCTTTTATGAGAGGTGAAACGTCTTCACGTACTTAAGTCCAGGTACCTTTTCTGTTTAAAGCTCTTAAGAACCACACCCATCTAATTAGAAAAACTAGATGGGTGTGTTGATGATGTGGCACATGGTATTACAAATCATAGGAACGAAGAAACATCCAGTGGCAAATACCGGGCTGTAAGTGGTTTCATTTGGATATTTTAACCAGTAAGTCTGTGAGTATTGAATACATTAAAAAAAAAAACAGACATACAAGTAGCCAAATTGGGACTGCAGGTTTTTGCACTTTCACATTGTCCTCATGTTTCATCCTCAGAGGTGCTGCTCGGCTTGATAAAGGGAACAAAGCACGTCCAGCTGACAGTTGAGTCAGGTTCACCAATGATGTCCTTTTCCTCTTGTCTTATCTTTATGCTCGCTGACTGACAACTTTTGAATGGACTTTGAATGGTTTACTGGCAAACAACCGTTATCATTCAGATAAACTCTTATACAGTGAAGCATTTTAAGAAACACCTTCAAAAGTGCATTATGTGTGATGAGGAAGCTCTCAAAGGCTGTATATTCAGATATATTCTAAGCACAATGGACATCAGTGAGGTTGAGTGAGGTGGCTCTGACCTGCAGGTTCAACAGTTCGCTCCAGCTACCCTGCAAAGATCGTGCCTTTACACAAAAGTACACTTGCAGATAATATGAAGCTAATTCAGGATGCAAGCTGACTGCCTTCATAAAACTTTTACTGTCCTCACTGTTTTCATTCTCACCCTTCAAACACCCCGATCTCTCTATTGTTGGCAGTTTATGGACAACCTGGCGAGTACTGTTGCGCAGGCTAGTTAACTGCAGTTGGATGAATTTTTATGGACCCGTCTTTTTGCTTGTGGTTCTATTTTGTATTTCTTTGTTGCTTGTTTGTTGCTTTTACTTCCTTTCTGCCAAATTGAGTTTTGGATATGATCATTTTGGAAACCTTTTATTACAGTTAAAGAGATATACTTTGGAACTGAATATGCACTGTCTGGCAAAATAAATGCCAACATGTTTCTTTTTACTGGAGAGTGCAGATAAGAGCCTCCCATTAGACTAGAGGTCTAGCTTCAGCTGCCTGAATATTTGGGATTGACCTTTTTTCTTTCTTTCCTGACAGCATTGGGCATATTCCAAGATGACAATGTTGAGATTTATCAGGCTTAAATAATACATCACAATCATCCTTAGTGGAAGTCCCCTGGAGAGAGCTGACCCTGACTACCAAGATCCAACTGTTCAACTCCAATGTAAAGTCAGTACTGCTCTACGGGGCTGAAACCTGGAAGACAAATAAAACCTCAAAAAGAGAAATCCAGACATTCCTCAACAGCTGTCTCAGGTTTCTCCACATCCGCTGGCCAGACCCAATCCGTAACATCAAACTATGGAAAGGAACCTGTCAACTCTCAGTAGAGGAGGAAATCAGGAAGAGAAGATGGTGCTGGGTAGGGTATGCTTTACGCCCCAGGTGTTAAACTCCAGGCCTCGAGGGCCAGCAAAACAGCTACAGCTGGAAAGAATGGCCCAGGACAGAAATCTCTGAAGACCTACCTTTGGCAGCCCATAACCTGGGAGCGGTGACAGGCAGTAGTAGTAGTAGGATCAGTAACCATGAGACACAGACTGGACCACAGATGATGACCACACTGAGAATCTTTAGGATGTGCTAGACTAGACTTTGAGCAGAGGTTCAGCTCTGAGCTAAATAAGAATATTTCAGATGGCTGTAGTTTCAGGAGCTTTAACAAAGACATTTGAGAAATAAAACAACAACAACAACAACAACAACAACATAACAAACAAACATCTTGATGCATGCTCAATCATCCAGGTAAGTAAAGCTCCAAAAGTTGATTCTGTTCATCTGGACGCAGCGTTTTCAGCGGGAGAAACGTTTCGTCACTCATCCAAGTGACTTCTTCAGTCTCCGCTGACTGCAGGTTTCCCCAATCTTATAAACAGTTAATTTGCATAATGACTGAAACCAGCACCACTGAAGGAGCAATGGGCTGGGAGGTCAGTTCCTTCATCATAATTACATAAATTCAACATGAAACCTGCAGTCAGCTGAGACTGAAAAAGCCACTTGGATCAGTGACGAAACGTTTCTCCCGCTGAAAACGCTACGACCAGATAACCAGAATCAACTTTTGGAGAACGAGAACAACAACAACAACAAAAAAAAAAGCAGTGCTGGCTTAAATTGTACAAAGTTTCTGAGCTAACAGAAAGCAAACCACAAACAGACAAACTGTGGATTTTATTTATTGTGCTGGGATTTCTCATTTATTTGGACAAAATTACTTTCTTGTTCTGACTGTAAGTACAAATCTTCACATTTAGGATTGAAACATCACGTAGAAAAACAGTATTCTGATATTACAACTGGCAGGAATTGGGTGACACTCCTACGAATCAAGACGTACGCGCATCATCATCCGTCTGCACCACTCAGTTTGAGCTGGAACGCATTTTCTTTTCCGTCTGACAAGTGGACGACAACGTTTTTATTTATTTATTTTTTACCAGATTGGCCTTTTAAACAATACCGGGATCCGCTGGTGGTAAAAAGACACCTCTTCCACTACCTTCAGTGGTGACTGAATTATATACAGTATAAAACTGTGGGTAGCAAAAAAAAAAAAAAGTTCTTCTACAAGTGAGTTACACTGCTGCAACGCTCGCAGTGAGAAACTGAGGAGTGGCGAGAACATCAGAGCCAGTCGTGATTCCTCTGACTGCACCATTAGCTGCCACCACACACAGCGTTCACGCGGCTGGTGTGGAAGAAGTGGGAACTTTGTAAAATGTGTCCGTCTGGTACAAAAAAAGTGTTATTTCTTAGAATGCATCAGAGAGTGAGCCATTTCGGAAAAACAAAACAAAACAAATCCATCGGTGAACCCTCCGCCTATTGCTTCTGCTTCTTCTTTGCTGGTTTGATAGCAGGCAGCTCTTCCTCTTCTTCTTCCTCCTCCCCATCTTCTTCCTCAGACAAGTCGGAGTCTTCGACCTGTGTGGCTGAGAAGATCAGGAGAAAATGTCAGCTCACCGTGTTACACCGAATCCCGGTACCACCATCTCGACTGCGTGTGCGAGACTCGGCCCTTAAATGTTCTGTTATTTTGTTTCATATTGAAAGAACAAAAGATAAAAAAAAAATTATAGAAAATGGTGAACTCTTTAAGGGCCAGAAAGGTCGCTTTACTGAATGTGCCCTCACAGTTGACCCTCACGCACACACTAACTTGAAACAGCAGAAGAAATAAAGTTGTAAGATGTAAGTTGCAGATTTCTTTTACAAAGTTTTATTGCCCAGAGACACATTTAACCTTTTGTCTAGCAGGGTGAGGGAGCACCAAGGTTACTCCAGGTGTTTCACTATACAGGACGTTCATAGCATTCATCTGTATTGAAAATTAAATGCGTTTGGATCCCGAAGCCGCCGCTTTAGACTGTCGTTTTTCAAAAGTTGTGAGGTACAAAAGATCTTTTTCAAAATATCATAGGTGTTAAGCACTTAAGCCGAAGGCAACTGAGCTTGATTTTCAGGTTCACGTAGAAGTGTCAGGACCGCCTCCAAGGTGATAACCCCAGTGGAGGTTAAATACCTGGGATTCCCCAATCAGCTTGTAGAACTGAAGGAGGCTCTTGTATGAGAGGGGGAACATCTTGGGGGTAGGGGGACTTAATTTGAGTAAACGTTCTTTTAAAAGTACGATGAATAAGCTGCTTATAAAACAAAATGAACGAGTTTGCATCAGAAGTTAGTGAGGGTCATCTCTGATTATGCAGCTACACTTAAAACAACAATTCTGACGGCTAAAGAACCAAATGGAAAAAAAAAAAAAAAAAAAAAAAAGGAAACTACTGTTACATTGTTCAAATGACGATAGCGATACATGCTGAGAGGTCAAAACGCTTTGTTAAAGTTAGGAGGAGTTGGTTAAACATCATCTTCATCATCTTTATTTTAATCACGTCACACTGCGAAAAACTGTTGCCCATCCCTAATATAGACCAATAGGTCAACCAATCAACTGCAGCCAAGCATTACTCTAATTAACTTCCTTAAATGTCAAGCAGAGGAATTCAATTTTTTATAATCAGCAACAAATAAAAATACAAAATTCCTGCTGTATGTTTATTTGGGTCAGCCAACTCCGTTTGAAAAGAGTACCTGCATTAACGTTTCATAAATTGGATCAGTTCCTATTATTCACCGATTACTATCATTTTGATATAAATACAATGAAGGGGCTGAAAACTGATGAGATATTGTCAGTGAGCTTCTTAGAATATCAGTACTGGCAGTGTTAAAGTGCACATAGAAAGTAGAGTATTACCAATAAGGTGTAGCCCACTGACAGAAACTGGCCCTGTGCCGGCCTTGAGTCGGATGGTGACTGGGGCTTTCAGCTCAAACTCTCCCAGACTCACCTGACGACAGAAAGCATCAAAGTTAAGACAGATCCAACTTCAGCTGTGTGGCACATCGGCCTCAGTTTACACACCATGGGGAGACACTTGATGTGAAGGTTGGCAATGGGCACCGAGATCGTCTTTCCTTGGTGGTTCATGGCTGTCACCTCCACCACATTGCTCTCCTCCTTGGCACC